CTTACACTTGCGCGTGTCGCACTGTCACTACACTGATAGTAGAAAAAAATTAGGCAAAGTCACATCGTATACACGCGTTACAAAATTTCTCGCAAAAATTCGGTATAAGCAAATTCACATTTTCAAATCCCTAAAATTGTTTCGGAAACCTTGATATCTTGAAAGCGATTACATATCAGAATTTTTCTGATTCGTAAGGATAACCTTTTAATTTCTGTTCAATCCGAGCACTGCGTTTGTTCGCGATTAGCAGGGAATCCTGTGACAAAAAATTTTTTGAACAATAAAAGAAAAGTATTTAATAAAAAAATTTTATTACAGAGTTTCATAAAAAAAAGTTTGAATTGCTAGAATTGCGAAAGTTATCCTTAAGGATCAAAGTAACTCTGTCTGTCCTAAATGGTCCTTACGTGGCAATTAATAATTACGTGCCACTATTGACCGATACGTATTCCGCATTGTAACTTAACCATTTCTTCTGCAAGTCATACGTAACGAACTCACGGGCGTGCATCGTCATTCCCGAAAATTATTAACGGTAACTTTCTTTAAAGAGGAGAGATGCGAAGGCTTGATAGGAAATCTAATATGCGTGACGTTTTGCGACGAACAAATAGCGACGTGCAGTGGCTTATCTCATTGTTGCGTTGTATAGATATATAATTTAGGATACTTAATGCTTGGAACGGACCTGCGTATATATCTGTTTCTTCGGGAACTTCTTTTACCGGAGTCCTCAGTTAAACCATTAGAGATATTGTCGTTCGGACGTTATACATTGCTATTTGTGACGTATTATATCAAGCTGACACTTTACTTTCTCCCTTATCTTATCAGTGTGTACGCTGTTCGCCGTGCTGATTCGCTCAGGTGCCTGACTTTCCAAATTCCAGGTCGCGGTGTTTCGAGTCGCGGTGCTTTTGGTACTTCGCATTACCATCGAACCACGAGAGAGAGCGTTAACGTTCGTTAAGAGCGTACGCCGACGAGTAAGCGTAATCGATCATCACGAGCATTGGCAGATCGAAAACCATAATGAACGTAGCGTTTACTTATAAAACGGTGCTATCCCAATGGAAAGAAAGACACTGCGCGGTGGGACATCTCGCTTCGAGACATATAAGCGTTAAGAAAATATATTATTGTCAAAAACGCGGCTATCACTTCGCTTTCATATTTCGCGTGTTGAAGCGTGTCTCTGTCGATGAACGTCGGCTACGTAAGTGTACCTTTCCTTTTCCTGTTTCTTCCTCTTTCGCTTGCATACGCTTCGTAAATTGTACTGCACCATCGAAAAGAGATTGTCATAAATTTAATTACTTTTGGAAGTAGCATATTAATTTAAATCAATTTAAATTAATTTAAAAAAAAAGATAGAGATTAATTCTTCAGAATTATGGATGTAACATCGAATTTTATTTGCTGGTAAGTTGTTGAAATCTTTTTACAAATTAATTTAATACCTTTGAGCCCCAAAAATGAGTATCTTCATCGTGTTATGGCAGTACTCTGTCGGAGGCGCGACGTGAACTGTTCACTTTGAAAATAATGTAAGTCAAATTCTGAAGATCTAAGGACACACAGATACATTACGTCGGATTAGGTCATTAGTCAAGCATACATCTCTTATTTGAATTGCACTTCAAACTTTGATTTAGATTATCTTTGTGGTAAAACTGTCCACGTTTTTGATTGTTCGAGAAATCAACGGCTCTATCAAAAATCACAGTTTTCGCCTGCAAAAGTAATATAAGTTTATGTTAATCATACGTCACGCGTTATATGTACAAGTAATCGCATCTATTAAATCATCGAGGTTCCTCGCATTCTCGACAATCTGAACTCCCATCGCTGTTGTGCCATCCTTTCGAAATAAACGCGCATTCGTACCGTGGTAATACGGTAGGCTCGCCTTTAAATGTAACGTAATCGTTGATCGATCCGATAGAGAGCAACAGATTTTATTGTCTGTCTCTGTGTATCTATTCGCAATCACCGTTTCGTCCGACAGATGTATCAGGCCGCAATCGCCTTTCATGTTTTCCTCGTATTTGGAAAGAATAGTGATCGAGTTGCCCGGATCTCGAAACACGCGCGTTTCACCCGGATTCTCTTCTTAAAAAAAAAAAAAATTCTATCTATCCTTTCTCTCTCTCTTTCACCCGTTTTATCTTTTAGCGCATGTACGTACAATCAATCGGTATAAGGTTTTTAATTGGTTTTTTTCGCGGTACGTTATTCATGGTATTCAAGCTTTTCAATACTTTGAAAGGACTAACAAGTTCAAATAGAAATTGCAAAATCCAGATTGATTCATTAAAGAACGCGTGTGCTTAAATAAAAGAAGACCATTTTCATTCGTATTTCTAAACTTCTTATTTATATATTATGATAACAGTTTGTTTGCATATTTTATTAATTAATCGATATTAACAATAGTACTTGGATCTAAGTCAAAATTTGGAATAATTATTCTAATATCTTTTCTTAAAAAATTATCATAAATTTTTATTTAGCTAGTATGATTTTTCATACTTTTTACTCTTGTAAAAATCATGAAAGAAATTGTAAAAGAAATTGGAAAATCCTACTGCAGCTTATTTTACTTTAGTGATTTAAATGCCATTTTAGCAAGCAATAAATACGATATCATTAATTTATGAACCGCTTATTAGAAAATGACAAAATTCAAGAAAATCAAAGAAAAAATAATAGATTATTTCCACATATCAGATAATCTTTTCAAGCATGAATAAGGACTGATTTGCAATGCAATTTTTCTTAATTAAATGTTTAGTACTTTATTAAGAAAAGTTTCTTATTAAGTACTGCTGACATATGAAAAATGCTTGTACATATATATATATATATATATATATAT